CGGGTGTTGGGGCATCAATTTCCTTTTTGTAATACAAAATGACTGAAAATTGCAAATTTCGCAAGGCTATATTATCCGCATTTTACAACATTTCGCAACGAAACTTTGGAATATTACTAATTTTGTTATGCTCTTTCAAGCTGTGATGAAATTTTGGTCTAGATCAAAATTTAGTCTATAATGCAAATGGTCCATTTACATAAACTTTATTTTCTAGGCTTAGACAACGTTGATTTTTAAAATTACTTCACCAATGAACTCATAAGATGGGTCGCTTTTTGAGCCATTAAAACACTCGCAGGCCATGCTTTGTCATGCAGATATAAGACACTCGCGGCCTTCTCGCGGCCTTCTCGCGGCCTGTTTCCACGTGTTTTATATCTGATAAAGCACTTCTCCTCGTGTTCTAAATATAGTACATATACAGTACCTTCTGGATTTCTCTTATCCATCTGTTGACACCATTCTGCAATTGGTTGAGAAATGATGAATCCTCACACAATTCTCCAAAGTCTTGCACCTTGGCTTTTCTGTCTTCATCCTGGCATTTCTTTATCATTTTTTCGACAGTTGGATGTATAATCAATGTAATCTCAGGAATGTCGATGTTTTGTTGTAAATGTAATAATGCCATTTCCAACTCAGAGATTTTCTTCTCAACCGAAGGCACCATTTTATCCCCATCCCTATAGAATTTTTATTAAATATAAGATACAGCTAGCAGGAGGAATATTTGGTGATATTAACAACTACTTATTAACAGAGAGTGAGGTCATGATGGGAAATATCAAACTTTAAGTTATGTGCATGAGTAATTGATCAAGTGATAACGAGGTTTAAATATGAAGCTGGTATTGTGGTTACTGGAGCGATGAGAGGGACTGGAGAAAGGAGTTGCTAAACAAGCTTAATTGGTTGGGATGCTTTGCATGCTATAGGAGATTGGTTCATAAACTTATTTTATTCAAACAATTGTTGATAATTTAACTCCATTTTAATTGCGAAATTTATTACCACAAACTGCTCAACAAAGATCAGGTCTAATTTTGAGGTCATCTAGCAATTTTTCTCTGATCTCTACCCGTACGGAAAGACATAAGAAATCATACTTACTTTCAACGGTTCGAATATGGAATATCGATACTGCAGTACGTGACAGGACTCAAAAGAACGGTAGATACAGTACCGTTCACGGAAAAGTTAACAGTCCCGTCCCTCGGGATGAGATTCCCGTCCCGTGGGACAGGATTCCCGTCCCGCGGGGACGGAAATCCCGTCATGTGGGACGGGAATCCCATCCCGCGGGATGAGATTTCGTTGCGTGGAACGGGAAAGTCGAAACAAGGCTGCTAAAGACATTAACATGCATTTACAGTAAAAGATTTGTTTCGACTATGCTGCACATCTTTAACGAAAAATGTTCAAAAGCTGAAACCTTTTTTATATCATTTTTTCGGGATCTCTGGCGATTTGAAAGGGATTTTCCGTTATTTGGATGTTTAGAGACTTTTTTGCCTTTTGGGACTTACGAGTTTTCACAAAAGTTTTCACCCCTAAATACAATCACAGTTAAAGGCGCATTGCTCAACTCGCACCGCAATTTACACAAACGGACATAGACTATATGCTGTAACTATGATATAACACAACATATATAACTGAAATGGTGACTCAGTCTGTAATGTAGAGATAAAAATAACAATTGGATTAGGGCTGCATAATATAGCGGACCGCGGGACCAAGAAAATTTTTGAGGTTGGCAGAAAGGGTAAAACTTAAAAGTCTCAAAAGAAAAAAAGTAAAGAGAAAGAAAGAAAGGAAAAACAGAAAGGAAGAAGATAAAAAAATGACATGATTGAATAATAAGCTGTAGGTAGTTTACGCCGCAACGCAACGTTGATTACGAAATATACCTCTTTCGTAAAGCTCGCCAATAACCAAATGAGACGCTCGATCAATTTACCACTCGTCTGCGCCAACTGGCCTCAACTTGCGAATTTACCTCTGTTGAGAAATCAAATCGCAGATAATCCTCAACTGCTCCTCGTCTCACCTTCGTCGACAAGCATTTCGTGAATCATCTTTAACCCTTGATCTCGGTCGCGCCATGGAAATATTTGGAATACAAGCCTCTGGCATTGAATCTAAATCCATTTCTCCTGATGTATGTCTCAGCGTTCTCAATCCCGTCAATCGCCTTCTGCTCCTTTCCCACGTTCTCGAGAGTTCCCAAGCTCATCCTCTACGTGTGGACATTGTGGCTATGCCTATCCCCATCCACAAGGTCAAGTCATCTGTCTTGCGCGCGGTTGCCAGTGTCGTTCGTGCGGGAAAATGAACCATTTTGCCCGTTGTTGTCGATCTAAACCTATAAGACCATCGTTTGATGAAAGTAGCTCCCCCCGTCCTCAATCGCGTTTTCACCCCCTCCGAACACCTTTCCACGACAAACCCCCTCCACGCGAGATTCGCCACGTTAAAACTGCATCTCTGTCATCGCTCAAACCAACGCATCTGTCAACACCACCACACCGCTCTCCACACTTAGCAGCACACAATTACGTTCTTCATCTACATATCGACCCCTCCGTACCCCCGTGACGCAACCTCATCGGAGAATTCCGTTCCACCTTCGCAAAAAGCTCGATACCGAACTTGACAAACTTGAACGCCAGGGCATTACGCCCGGGTTATCGTTGTCACACCAAAACCGAAGAACCCTGATGAAATTCGCCTCTATCGATATGCGCCAACCCAATCGTGCGATCCATCGTGAACGTCACACTACGCCGACTATTGATGACCTAATTCATGATCTAAACGGTGCTACCGTTTTCTCTAAAATTGATTTGAACTCTGGTTACCACCAACTCGAACTCGCACCCGAAAGCCGCTATATCACAACGTTTTCCACGCACAGAGGACTTCGCCGCTACACCCGCTTAAATTTTGGTACGTCATCCGCCGCCGAAGTCTTTCAAGATGCCATCCAACAGGTTCTCAGTGGTATCGAAGGTGCTCGTAATGTTAGCGCGCATTTTTGTGCGCGTCATGCCGTTTTTGAACGTTTACGCTCTAAGAACCTTACGTTGAATGCCAAAAAGTGCGAGTTCAACAAATCCAGCATCGAGTTCTTTGGGTATATATTCTCCAGAAATGGTTTCTCCCCAGACCCCAAGAAAGTCTCTGCTATCAACAATACCAGTCCCCAGTTTCCTCGGTATGACCAACTACTGTTCCCGGTTTATCCCCAATTATTCCACCATCACTGAACCCCTCCGTACGCTTACCAAATCCGACCAGCCCTGGACAAGGACATCCCAGCATCAACACGCCTTTGATCAGCTGAAGCATCTTCTCACCAGCGACACCGTTCTCTCCTACTTCAACCCCCACAACGCAGCCACCATAATTGTCGAGGTGAACGAGGTGAACGATAAAACAAAACAAATACAGACGAGATTATGTGAGAGTTTATGCATGTTTTTATAGTTTCAAACTTTAAATAAATATCAAAAAACATTCGCGACAATGTTGTTGCCTATGCAAGTCGTTCTCTCACTCCCGTAGAACAACGGTATTCCCAAACAGAACGAGAAGCCCTCGGTGTACTGTTTGCGTGTGAACATTTTCATCTTTACATTATACGGCGCGAAATTCAACATCATCACAGATCACAAACCTCTTGAACGCATTTTTACCAATCCCGCTGCTCGTTCCAATGCCCGATTAGAACGCTGGGCCTTCAAGCTTAAACTATATCACTTCACCATTTCCTATTCTCCTGGCAAAACCAACCCCGCTGATTATCTGTCCCGTCACATTCTAGCTACAACCCACCCTTCCACTGCATCCGACCAGGCTGAAGAATATATCGCGTTCTTAGCAGATCATACCACCCCAAAAGCTATGACCGTTTCTGAAGTGAAACAATCCACCCGTGCCGATCCCACTCTGCAAGCCGTCATCGAAGCCCTCCGTAACAACACCTGGCACTCGACGTTTGAGACACCCAGTCCCCTTGTCAACTCCCAGGACCTCCACGCTCTTTACAATATCCGCGACGAACTGAGTGTTTCTGATTATCATGATCTCCTTCTTCGCTCTCACCGTCTCATCCTCCTACATGCCCTTCGTCAACGTGCTCTCCACATCGCCCATGAAGGTCACCAAGGCCTTACCAAAACCAGGGCGCTATAAAACACGGGCGGGGAAACGCGCTAATAAATGACCGTGCTACGTGTGATGCACA